ACTAAAAATATCCCTCCAGTGTGAAGGTTAGTTGGTTTCATTAGTAGCAGATTTATTTTTCCTTAAATCATTCAGATCGTTATGGAGGGTATACAGGTCTACTTAGGAAATATGGAGGGGAATAGACGTTTTAAAAGGGAGAGTATGCTACTTCAACTTAAAAAGTGAATACTCCATAGTTTTGTACAGATAGGGGAAGGAGAGCTGAGGGTTTTTTGTATGTCTTCGGTCTTAATATTCTTCATCACAGGAAAAGGAGCTTTTGCACTATAATTCAGGCTTGTACTAAATATCTACAAAATTCATGTCTGGCAAGCCTTTATAGAATGCCTTCAATCTGACTAAATTGAATTGAATGTTTCTATTATTGGAAGAGTTATTTATTAAGTTATTTTCAGCATGCTTTCAGATCTTATCTTTGTTTATTACGTACAAAAAGAGGAAAGAAACTTTTACTTAAAATGGAGGTATTTGATATTCGTTCAGGAAATGACACAGGATTGGGCACCCTTTGGGGTTTAAATGACTCACAGATATTAGCACTGAAAAAAAAAATCAATTGCAACCTAGCTTATGTTTGATTCTAGTATAGAATAGAGGTATTTCCAGAAAAATGAATTCATTTCTTAATAGTTATGCAGGGGTGAAATCATAAGCTGTCTGGAGTTGCTTAAAAATAATTCAGGGAGGAGGCATTGTATATCCCCACTTAATATATACCAAATGTCTTCACTCTATGGGAGAAACTGGAAGATTGGAAAGTATAAAAACATGGTGAGCAACTGTGGATACTAGAAACAGTGTAGTGGGAAGGTGGAAAAATAGGGGAGGTGAGAGGGAGGGGATCAAGGGAAAAAAAAGGCAGAACTTAAATTTTCCACAAACATGGACAATTATCTGTTGATGATAATGTGTATGGTAACATCTTTGACTGGACTAATATGTAGTGTACTTATGCTGAGAAAGATGTACAGTAGTTAAATGTAAAAAAACAAGAAAATAAAAGACAGAGGAAAAGTTTTAAAAGTAAAGATAAAAAAAGATTAAAAAAATAAATGAATAAATAATTCAGGTGAGAGAGACAGATAGGGCAAGCAGGAGAGGGGATAGGAGAGGCCAGGAAAAGAGAATAGATGAAACAATTGTGGGAAAATCCTGATAAATGTAGAATCCGTGATGGATTAATAGGTGCCTATTGTAGTATTTTCTCTTCTGTATATACCCAAAAGGTGTGTAATAAAAAATGTAAGTATAGCTTTAGTTTGGGGCAATTTATATTTATTTGTAAATGTTAACTTTTATCTATAAATTGCAGGCCGGTCAAAACACGATCTGTGCATGATAAATTATTATTATAAGGGTGAAAGGGGCTGCTTGAATGCCACGATTGTGGCAAGGAAAAACTGTTTCTAAAAAGACGTGTTTCTGTTTGACTTTCAGCTAAATACAAAGGACAGGATGCAAGCACCTCTAAGAATTTTGTAGTGCTTGAAGTAGTAAAGGAGTTGATAGTGAAAGCATGATAACAAGCCAATAGCATGTGAAGAATGTGGCAACATTATGATGTCTCGAATGTTCTGCTCAGAGCTTTCTCTAAAAGAGTGTGCATTCTTAAAACCACATGAGACAACATATGGCCTGTGTGATGTGTAGTCGTCTTGCTTTCCCTAGTCACCTCCACCAAACTTTATTTACTCACCAGACGTTTTCTAGGTGTTTATTACGGGCTGAGATAAAAAGTCACATAGGAAGATACTGAGCCTGCATTTTTAAGGAGCTCACAGACTACTGGAGGTAACAGAAGGAAGTGGCTGATCATTACACAGAAAGTGGCTACAGGAATATGGGGAAGGGGAGCAAATGCTCGGCAACCATGCCCCCATGATCCATCTCCTTTAAAACAATACAAACAGGTGCCGCAGGTGGTGTGGTGGTTAAGGCGCTGGACTCTCACATGGCCAGCCACAGTTTGAGTCCTGGACCTGGTGGCTTGCTTTCTCATTTTCCTTCTCTCTCTCGCTCTGTCTCTCTCTGGTCAAATTAAAAAAAAAAATACTAACAATAATAAAATGAAGTAAACAGTTCTTTTAAAAAAATACAGACAGGGACTGGATGGTAGTGCAGTGGTAAAAACATGATGCTTTGAGGTTGACCCACATGGGAAGGTACTGGGTTTGCATGCAAAGACCTCCCTGAGTATATGGAGCATATGTGCACCTATGATCTGAGGCTGGCTGAGGCAGGTTGTGATTGGGTCATGGCAGGGGACCTTGGGAGTGTCTATCTTTCGATCTCTCTCTGTCTCTGCTGCTCTTAGAAGAAATAAATAAACTTCCAAAGAAAATTTGAGATGGTTTAGTTAGTGGTGAGTATTAGAGAAGCAGGAAGAGGGCTGATACCTTAGTTTAACTTTATGCGTGACTTTGCAAATAATGGCCATCTCTGCTCCCTTGCCCTTTTTTTTTTTAAAAAAAAAAGGTTTTTGCCTTTGGGTACATTCATACCTTTTTTTTTTTAAAAAAAAAAGGTTTTTGCATTTGGGTACATTCATTTTCTTTTTCTTTTTTCTTTTCTTTCTTTCTTTTTTTTTTTTTTAAAGACAGATTTTTGCTATAGGGCACATGTGCTTACCAGAGAGATAGAAAGCAAGAAGTCACTCCCCAGGGGTGATGGCCACACTCACCATCTCTTCTCCTCCAGACTCCTCTCTGGATCTTGGGCATGCACCCACACGTGCATGGCAGAGTTTTACGCCAGTTTTAAGCCACTGGGTCCAGGACTCAAACCACAATCGACCATGTGAGAGTCCAGTAACCATTACATCATCTACTGGTCCTTAAAGTTCATTTCTGAATTGATTTGGAATTTGAAGCATATTTTGTCAAAGAAATTGTAGGTAAGGTTTCCCAGGTTACTTTATAAATATCTGAAATCTTCTACATGGGAGCTTTAAAAAGTCTGGAAAAGTGGAATTAATGTATGAATTTATAGGGAAGTAAGGGTAGGGTTCCCAGAGTTCACAGGAAATGTGAATTATGAAAAAAACTATGCACTATGCATAGATTTAAATTTTTTGGTACCACAATCAACTTCTACTGCAATTCTATTTTCCATGAACTTCTTAAAGTCCCCTTGTATTTTGGTGCAACATTTTGAAATCCATACATAGTTTTTTCATAACATGTCTTTTTCATGACTGTTTTGAAGATCCCTTGTACGGTGTTACCTGACATGATTTTGTTTTCATATCGTTTTAATCTAAAGGAATTGTACAAGCATTAGAAGTTGTTAAATAGGGGCCAGCAGGTGGCGTGGAGGTTCAGAGGCTGGATCCCACGTGGCCGACACTGTGTTTGAGTCCCAGACCTGATAACTTGAAAACACACTGGGAGTATGTGTGTGCATGCTCCAGATCCTGAGAGGTGACTGGAGAAGGGATTGTGGCATGGCCATCCCCCTGGAGGGTGATTTCTCACTTTCTCTCTCCCCCTCTCTCTTTCTCTCTCTCCCTGTCTTATGCACACATCCTATAGCAAAATTTGTTTTAAATCTTGCTAATATATTCCGATTCATGTTCTGTCCATTAGTTGCTGTACAACCAAATGAGCATATGTAACAATGCCTTATGAGAAAATACTGTCAGTTTTATTTGGGGTATGTTAAGTAGAATTACAAGAAGTTCTAGGCCTGAAAAATAATCTTGCTAAGTGAAGTCTGTTGAACGTGTTCATTTTTATAGACATTTGCTATTCACGTTGACTATAAGAAGCTTTTTTTTTTTTTTTAGAGGTTTTTGCTATAGGGTACATGTGCTCGCCGAAGAGACAGAGAGAGACAGACAGAAAGTGAGAGATCACTCCCCAGGGGAGGGGCCACATTACAATCCCCCATCCC